CAAGTATTCATTGTATCCGTTGGAATTTTTTTCTGTCATGATTTGTGCTTTCCTTACTTTTTGTGAGGGGTTCTTGTGCTTTCCTTACTTTTTGTTAGGGGTTCGTGCTTTCCTAGCTCGCAAGGTTGTCCCGGTGGTATGTGGTCCTTGTTGGCTTTTTATCTGCCACGGGTTGTTTTCTTCTGTTTTTCCCATCCATTTTCGACGGTTGACGTTTATAGCGCGGCATTGGCCCGTTATCTCAAGCCTGCTTACCGTTGTTCATATCCCCACTTCCCTGCCGACGTTTTCTGATCATCCCTCAAGATACCAGAGTGAGCAGAGAGAGGGGAGATCGTTGATTTTCCAAGGCATGTCACAACTCCCATGTTTTTCCAATGTCGATCACAATTTGCATAAGATTTTTATTTTTATTTTTCAAGTTTTTTTTCTTGTTTTTAATTCCTTTTTTGTGTCATGTTTTTCTTTCCTTTTTAGAAAAATAAAAGATATAAAATGACATGCTCGAGGGTGCCACGACAAGTGTTTTTTGAGGGGCTTGCAACCGCAAGTTCTTTTGAGATGGGGTCACAACTTTGAAGATCTTGAGAGGGCGGGGGGCACAATTGCATGTCCCCAAGGGGGAACCACAACTACGCATTTCCAAAGGCAACTTTAAGATGGGGAATCACAACTGCATGTCCCCAAGGAGAATCACAAATGCACCTTTTTCCCAAGCCAGGTCGCAATCGCAAGTTTCCAGTGGTTGTCGCAACTGCAAGCCCCCAAGAGGTGTGAATCGGGACTACACTATTTCCAAGTCATGCCGCAACTGCAAGTTTTCTAGAGTTTCTTGCAACTGCATGTCCCTAAGGGAGGAATCATGACTGCACATTTCAAGGTAGGTCACAACTGCAAGCCCCAAGGGTGGGATTTGGAACCTGACAGTTTCCAAGGCATGTCGCAACTACAAGTTTTTTAGGGTTTGCTGCAATTGCATGTCCCCAAGGGGAAATCGCAACTGCATGTTTTTCAAGGCAAGTTGCAACTGCATGTTTTTTAGGATTTGTCGCAATTGCATGTCCCGGGGGGAGGGATCGCAACTGCAAGTTTTCTAGGATTTGTCGCAATTGCATGTCCCGAGGCAGGGGGGCAGCTGCAAGTTTTTTAAGGTAGGTTGGAACTGCAAGTTTTCTAGGTTTGTCGCAACTGCAAGCCCCCAAGAGGCGTGAATCGGGACTATGATGTTTCTAAGTCATGTCGACTACAAATTTTCTAGGGTTTGTCGCAACTACATGTCCCCAAGGGAGGAGCCACAACTGCATGTTTTCAAGGTAGGTCACAACTGCAAGCCCAAAGGGTGGGATTTGGAACTTGACAGTTTCCAAGGCATGTCGCAACAATAATTTTTTTTAGGGTTTGTTACAATTGCATGTCCCCAAGGGGGAAATCGTAATTGCATGTTTTTCAAGGCAAGTCAAAACTGCAAGTTTTCTAGGATTTGTCGCAATTGCATGTCCCGAGGGGGGGGGGGGTGCCGCAACTGCAAGTTCTTCAAGGTAGGTCACAACTGCAAGTTTTCTAGGTTTGTCGCAATTGCAAGCCCCAAGGGTGAGAATCAGAACCGCATGGTTTCCGAGGCATGTCACAACTGCAAGTTTTCTAGGGGTTTGTCGCAATTGCATCTGCCCAAGGTGGGACTGCAACTGCACATTTTCTAGGTTTTGTTGCAATTGCATGTCCCAAAGGAGGAATCGCAACAGGACAGGCCTCCAAGGTGGTTACAACTGGTGGTGGGTTTCATATTTATTTATTTATTACTTCTATTTTTAATCATGATTTTTTTAAACGGTGAACATTTTGGAGAAATTGTGTTTTCTTCCAACTTCATGATTTTTAAATGTTGGTGAACATTTTATATATTCTTTTTGTATTTGACGAACATTTTTAAATGTAGGGAGATTTTTATATCCGTCAACAATTTTGAAACCGAAAATCACATGTTTTATGCTGTAAGGGAACAACACGAAATCTAAATGGTTCCGTTAATATACTTGCAACAACATTTTTGCCAACGTATTATGGTGAAATGGAATAATAGAAAATCAACAAAATGTCATGGGTAATAAGTTTGTGATGTCAATTGTGGCATCAATATTTTTTCTACAAGCTTCCACCTAGCTCCCGTGTCTTTAAACAGCAACTACTAGTTTTTTTGTTTGAGCGGTAGCAACTACTAGTAGCTCAAGCGTCTTGGCAAAATGTAGTAGTCTTGCCGCACAACACGAGAAGTGGCTAGGCCAAGTCCGGCCCAACTAAAATCAAGAAAACGCACTAGGCCAGCCACACACAAAAAACGAAGACAACCAGATCGTAGGGGAGCGAGAAACAAACTCACTAGAACAGGACATCATCCGTGAATGAGACCATAGTTATGTCTCAGCTAGATGAGTTTCAGGTGCTCCCTTATTTATTTCCATCAACATATATAGACTTCGGTTTCTTTCCTAGGTTCGCTTTCCCGACAGACAAAAAGAAGACGGAGAAAAACAGATACACTTAGGGCATCTCCAACAGGCGCGTCAAACTAGCGCCGCGCCACAAAATCCCCCCTTTTAGCGCGCGCGCAACCGGAATAGTTGCTCCAGCGGGCGCGCGAAAACCGCGCGCGCGGCATACGTAGTCCAGCGCGCGGGCCGAAACGCAATCGCGCGCCGCTTATTTGCTGCGCCCGCTCCCGCGCGCTGGACTCTTGCGCGCTCGCTCGCACCTCCCACCCCCCCTTCAGCCGCGCCGCCGCCGCCGACCGCGCCACCTGGCGACCGTTCCGGCGCTTCCCCGGCCTATCCCCGCCCCGCGCGCGCTTTCTCCGGCCCCCCTCTAGTCCCGCTGCCCCGCGCGCGTGCTAGTCCTCCGACGAACAGCGCCCGCGCGCTCGCTGCCGCTCGGCGCCCGCAAGGTGTTCGACAAAACGCCTAGAAGGTATGTATTTCTCAAAAGCCATGAATTCCGTGCATGTTGATTGTAGTTTTGTATTTATAGCATAGTATTCAACATTGTAGATGAGTTCGTCGTATGATTCTTTTGAAGAAGAATTTGATACGAAAGAGGAGGAGGATCTTGCAATGATCCTAGCTATGCATATTAATAAAAAACCGAAGCACGGTGGTTCGGTTATGGGTCGTCAAAAAATTTGGAGGGATAGGATCGATGTCCACAATAGATTGATCATGCATTATTTTGCGGAGAATCCCACATACCCCGGGTCGTATTTTCGTCGCCGGTTTAGGATGAGCACCGAGTTGTTCAGGCGCATTGCAGAGAAACTAGTGAGCAATGACCGCTTTTTCAGCAAAGGAGGAATGCCGTCGGAGAGCTCGGGCATAGCACCTTTCAGAAGGTGACAGCCTCTTTGCGTATGTTGGCATACGGTATACCGGCTGATCTAGTTGATGATCACTTGGCTATGGGTGAGAGCCAAGCCATCATGTGTGTCAAGCGCTTCGCAGTCGGAATTGTGCAAGTGTTTGGCGATGAGTATTTGAAATCTCCCAACGCTGAAGACGTCGCAAGGCTTTTAGCGATGAACAAAGCTCGCGGTTTTCCTGGCATGCTTGGCTCAATAGATTGCATGCATTGGGCTTGGAAGAATTGTCCAAAGGCATGGCATGGGCAATTCCACGGCCAAAAAAGGGTTCCACTATAATCCTTGAAGCGGTGGCCGATCAAGAGACTTGGATTTGGCATGCATTTTTTGGAATGCCTGGATCTTTGAATGACATCAATGTTGTCAACTGGTCACCACTGATGAGTAAGATTGCAAATGGAGAGTTGCCACCGGTGCAGTTTGTAGCAAATGGCCGTACATACAACTATGGCTATTATCTAGCGGATGGCATCTATCCAAAGTGGCAAACCTTTGTCAAGCCGTTGAAAAAGCCAGAAGGTAAGAAAAATCTTGATTTCCACAATGCTCAGGCGGCGGCTAGAAAAGATGTGGAGAGAGCTTTTGGGATTTTGCAAGCCCAATTTGCTATTGTGAGAGGACCGGCTAGATTTTGGATCAGAAGATGCTTTGGTACATAATGCACGCTTGTGTGATCATGCACAACATGATCATCGAGAATGAGCGTGGCCAAGATGTAGACTACTCTCAGTATGAGTTCTTGGGACATCCCGTGCGAGTGTGATGGAGGGCTAAAAGGGTGGCCCGTTTTGTTGCCTCCTATCATGCCATTCGACGTCCCACAGCGCATAATGATCTTCAAAAGGATCTCATTGAGGAGTGGTGGGCATGAAATGGACGACAAAGAGCATCATGATTTGTGCGTTCGTTATTGTATTGTTGAACTATTTGTTGTGTTTAATTGCACTATTTGTTGTATTGAACGATAAAAACTGTTTGTTTGAGTTGTAATAAATGAAATTGAACTATTTATTTTTGTTTGTTTTGATCTTTTTGCTTCTGTTTTCGAATGCATATATTGTTTGTGCGAGTCACGCGCGCTACATTTTGGCGCACTGCTGGAGCGGTGCACGCGCGCTGCATTTTAGCGCGGTTGCTGGAGCCAGCGTTGCGCGCCGCGCCAAACCAGACGATGCGCGCGTGGCATATCTGTCTTTTGCGCGCGACGCGACCGGCGCCTGTTGGAGATGCTCTTATGATCTAGAGATAGGCCTCACAGCAACCCCTCCTTTGTGCCCACTACTTTGCTACTGTGGTAGTATAAGTAGGAGAGCTCTCAGCTACGTACGCACCATGCATTGCACCCAAAGTTCCAAACCCAACTGATCGAGTAAGCACAATATAAGTTATCAACACAACCCCCGAGATCGATTTGACTGACACCATGAGCCTGATGAAGGAGGCGTCCTCGCTGTGCAAGCTCGGCTTCGATGTCGACAAGGGCGCGGGCTTCTTCCGCCAGGTTCCATCGCCCGTCCACGATGGGGAACTGATCGCGCTGCGGCCTTGTGAGCGGCTCACCAAGGTCTCCGTCATCGGAGCTGGCAACGTGGGCATGGCGATCGCGCAGACCATCCTCACGGAGGGCCTCGCCGACGAGATCGCGCTCGTGGACGCAGAGGCCGACAGGGTCCGCGGCGAGATGCTGGACCTGCAGCACGCCGCGGCATTCCTCCCACGCGTCCGCATCGTCGCAGGCACCGACGTGCTCGCGCTCACCAGGAGCTCCGACCTGGCCATCATCACGGTGCCCAGGGAGACGGCGGCGGCGTCGCGGATGGACCAGCTGAGGAGGAACGTGGCGCTGCTGAGGGAGGTCATGCCGACGGTGGCGGAGGGGTCGCCCGAGTCGCTACTGCTGGTGGTGTCGAACCCGGTGGACGTGCTGGCGTATGCGGCATGGAAGCTGTCGGGGTTCCCGTCGAGCCGCGTGATCGGCTCCGGCACGGACCTCGACTCCGCCAGGCTGCGGTGCCTCCTGGCCGAGCACCTCGACGTGGGCGCGCAGGACATGCAGGCGTACATGGTCAGCGAGCATGGAGACGGCGCGCTGGCGCTGTGGTGGAGCATCCGCGTCGGCGGCATGCCGGTGCTGAGCTACCTCCAGAAGACCCACTCGTTGTTCGATGCGGTGGGCTGCGCGGGCGAGGTGATCGGCCTCAAGGGGTACACGTCCTGGGCCATCGGCTACTCGGCGGCCAGCCTGGCCCGGTCGCTCCTCCGCGACCAGCGGCGCGTCCACCCGGTGTCGGTGCTCGCCAAGGGGTTCGTCCCCGGCGACACCCACGAGGTCTTCCTTAGCCTCCCGGCCAGGCTCGGGCGCCGCGGCGTGCTCGGGATTGTTGGCAATATGAGCAAATTACTACGAGATTTAATCCAAATAAACAGAAGATAAATTATGACCACAGCAGCAGAGATTAAACTAATCATGCGAACTAGCATAGTAGATGAACATATCACATCTAGGGCACATACTAGAAACATGAATTCTACCACGATCTCGAACAGGAAGGACAGAATCACATACGGTGCAGCGGGTGCAGCACCGCCGGCGTTGACGTTGTCGCCCATGTCGTCGAGGATGAGGTTGCCAAGGTCGGGGAAGAAGTCGTCGTTCGCGAAGTCGTCGCTGCCAACAGTCGCGCGAGTGCGCTCCCCAAAAACCTGATCACCCCTCTCCCGTACAGGATCACGAGAGGCGGAGTTCCGGAGGCCTACTGTCCCTTCTCACGGTGCACGCCGGAAGGAGGGATGGAGAAGACTTGCTTGGCGGCGCAATGATCTGGAACGGTGGTGAGAAACCATACGAAGCAGCGGTGGCTAGGGTAGACGTCTGCCTGGCTATATAGTGCGGGCCGGGTAGGTCGTGGGAGTAAACCCCACGTTCGAGTCGTCACGATCCAAAAGAATCAGAAACGGTTCAGTAATTAACGCGTCCGTTGATTATTAATTAATGACTCATTAATTTTCCCATGCAGTAAAAATATAGACAACGTGCATAGCTCTGTCCTCGGCTCGGCTCAATCCCGCTACCCGCGGCGCGTCATGGCGAAGCGAGCAAAGAGGAGGAGCGCGCGTGTAGGTCTCCTCTTCTCATGCTCATACAAGTGGTAGAAGAGCTCACCTTATAAAGAGGTGCAACTCTCTCTCAACTTCCGGGGTGGGACTAAACTTTAGCCTCACTCACTCCACTCACATGTGTGCATGAATGGGCCAAGAGAATTTCGGAATTTTAGTTGGGCTTTGGGCCAAAGGCCTACTAGAAAAATTCCAACAATCCCCCACAAAGTATCATTGGCACATCTCATCATTTAGTTCCAAAACATTGTTTTATATGTCGGTGCTTAGTGGAGACTGTGAAGTTGAACTTCCACTTAGAAATTTATGCTACACTAGATCACAACTTGAATAGTGGACTATGCCTTGAACTACAAGTTTTCTGTGAAACTAGTTTCACACAAATTCTTGACCGATACTGGGCTGCCGCAAGGCTTCCCCGCGGATGGAGCGTATACGTCATACTCCAGGGCCTTTCATGAATTTATTAGAGAACACCCAATTCTCACAGACTGCAACGTTAACAGTCAAATTCATATAGGTGTGTTCCTCAGAAGATGTTCTGCAGGACAACATCTCTGCTTACCCGAATAAGCCACTTGGAACACATTAAGATAAGTATCAACCTGCCATGCAGATCAGGAGAGTATTGCATCTTCACGGAGTGGGATAATTAATATAGGGATACTCTCCTCCCAGCTGACCAACAGCTTGTCTCCCACTTCTACTTCACGGGATCTCCGATCACATAGTGTGGGTTACCACTATGGACAACTCATGCGGTGGGTCTCAAACCCATCTCCATCGATGCATTATCTATCACATTACGTGATAGACCCTTTGTGAAGGGATCTGCCAAGTTTTTCGATGTTTGGATATAATCCAACGTAATAACTCCGGAGTTCCTCAATTTTCTGACAGATTTTAGTCTCCTCTTCACATGCCTTGAGGACTTCATATTGTCCTTAGAACTGTTTATCTTGACGATCACAGTTTGATTATCACAGTTCATCAGGATAGGGGTATTGGTTTTTCAACCATAGGTAAGTGCATCAAGAGTTCACGAAGCCACTCTGCTTCAACAGTGGCAGTGTCTAATGCTGTGAGTTCTGCTTCCGTGGTTGACCTCGTTAAGATGGTCTTCTTGCAAGACTTCCAGGAAACAGCGCCACCACCAAGTGTAAAAACATAACCACTTGTGGCCTTAATCTCATCAGCATCAGATATCCAGTTTGAGTCACTATAACCCTCCAGTACCCTTGGATACCTGGTGTAGTGAATCCCATAGCTCGCGGTGCCTTTCAAATAGCACATAACTCTCTCAAGCGCATGCCAATGATCATCTCCCGGTTTTGACACAAACCGACTCACTTTGCTCACAGCAAAAGAGATGTCAGGCCTCGTGGCACTCACCAAATACATAAGCGAGCCAATAATCTGAGAATACCTCAGTTGATCTCTAGCAATCCGTCGATTCTTTCGAAGCAACACACTAGCATCATATGGAGTTGGAGAAGGCGTGCAGTCGCTATACCCAAAATGACTCAAGACCTTTTCCAAATAATGAGACTGAAGCAGTGTGATCCCATCATTCTCATCTCTCAACAGCTTGATGTTTAAGATAACATCAGCTACTCCTAGATCCTTCATCTCAAAACAACGAGATAAGAAATCCTTAACCTCCTTGATTAAATCAAGTTTGGTTCCAAAGATCAATATGTCGTCGACATACAGACAAAGAATAACTCGTTCGCCCCCACCATAGCGATAGTACACGCACTTGTCACCATCGTTTACTACAAAGCCCGCAGCAGTTAATGTTCTTTCGAACTTCTCATGCCACTCCTTAGGAGCTTGTTTAAGGCCATATAAAGACTTCAATAACTTGCACACCTTTCCTTCCTGACCAGGTACTACAAAACCATCTGGCTGATCCATGTAAATTTCCTCCTTCAACTCTCCATTGAGGAAAGCCGTCTTAACATCCATTTGATGAACGAGAAGACCATGTGAGGCAGCCAGTGATAGTAGCACCTGAATTGTGGTCAGTCTAGCCACGGGTGAGTAAGTATCAAAGAAGTCTTCACCTTCTTTCTGGGTATAACCCTTGGCCACAAGCCATGCCTTGTACTTTTCAATCGTACCATCAGGTCTAAGCTTCTTCTTGAACACCCACTTACATCCTACAGGTTTGCACCCATAAGGACGGTCAGTGATCTCCCAGGTACCGTTAGCTAAGATGGAATCCATCTCGCTACGTACAGCTTCCTTCCAGTAGTCAGCATCAGGAGATGCATAGGCTTCTGAAATAGTCCTGGGTGTGTCATCCACAAGGTACACAATGAAATCATCACCAAAAGACTTTGCAGTCCTCTGTCTCTTACTCCTCACAGGAGTTCCATTGTTACCCTCAACAGGATTCTCAACGTGTTCCATCGCAATGGTGGGTTCGAGAATTACAGTGAATTCCTCACTAGATGGAGTAGGTATCTCCTAATTTGATGAACTCGACATATTCTTCATAGGAAATATGTCCTCAAAGAAAGTTGCATCATTTGATTCCATAATCGTACCAACATGCATGTCGGACACCTCAGATTTTATTATCAAAAATCTATAGCCGATGCTATGAAAAGCATAGCCCAGAAGAACACAATCCACGGTTTTTGGTCCAAGCTTGCGCTTCTTGGGAATTGGTATATTGACTTTCGCCAAACAACCCCAAGTACGTAGGTAAGAGAGTTTCAACCTTTTCCTTTCCCATTCCTCAAATGGAGTCATGGTCTTATGCTTTGTGGGAACTCGGTTTAGGACATGACACGCAGTCATTAGCGCCTCCCCCCACCATTCCTTGGATAGACCCGAAGTGTCTAACATGGTGTTAACCATATCAGTTAGAGTTCGGTTCTTTCTTTCGGCTACCCCATTTGACTGGGTGAGTAGGGAGGCGTCCTCTCATGGATTATACCATGTTCCGCACAAAACAGATCAAATTCATTGGAAAAATACTCTCCACCACGATCGGACCTAAGCCGTTTAATTTTTCGATCAAGTTGGTTCTCTGCCTCAACTTTATAGTTTTTAAAGAAAGTCAAAGCCTCATCTTTTGATTTCAGAAGATACACATAACAATATCTAGTGGAGTCATCAATCAACGTCATGAAGTATCTCTTTCCACCTTTTGTCAACACGCCATTCATCTCACAAAGATCAGAATGTATAAGCTCTAGTGGCGCCAAGTCTCTTGCCTCTGCAGTCTTATGGGACTTGCGAGGTTGCTTAGCTTGCACACATACTTGGCACTTGGAGCCTTTAGCAGTAGAGATTTTTGGAATTAAATTCATATTGGCTAACCGCGTCATGCAACCAAAGTTAATATGATAGAGTCGTGAATGCCAAATATCAGACTCATTATTGTGGCAAACATTATTAATAACTTTAGTGCAAATATCTGACAAAGATAGGCGGAACAAGCCTCCGCACTCATAGCCTTTTCCAACAAATTGTCCACACTTAGAAATTACAAGGATTCGAAAACCAACTTACAACCATCTCGACATAAACGTGAACCGCTAACGAGATTATTATTGATGGACGACACATGATGAACGTTCTTCAGACGCACAGTCTTCCCCGAAGTAAACTTCAGATCGACCGTACCAACACCTCGAACGATGGCATGTGACCCGTTCCCCATCAGCACGGGTGAAGTCCCTGTTTCCTGGTAAGAAGAAAACATGGAGGCGTCAGCACAAACATGTAGATTGGCACCGGTGTCAATTAACCAATCAGGGGATTGAAATACTGAAAGGATGGTAGGAAAAATACCGTACCCTGATTCCTTCATATCAGTATCACCGATGACAACATTAGCGGACTTGCCGCTCTTCTCATGTTCGCGCTCCTCAAAGCGTTTAGGACACTTCGGAGCCCAGTGATTAGGATCACCGCAGACATGGCAAAGTCCCTTCCCCTTCTTATGAGAATTCTTCTTGAAGTTGGTAGAATGTGATGGCTTGTTCTTTGTATCAAACTTGCCTTTGCCCTGAGTTTTGTTCTTATTGTTTTTGAACTTGTTGGGCTGGCAGTTCTTCTTCTGAACCATGTGGGCACTAGAACCTCCCTCAGCAACTCGAGCACGTGTGTCCTTTGCTCTCGCCTTCTCTTCAACATCAAGAGTACCAATGAGATCCGCAACGGAAAACTCCTGTCTCTTGTGTTTCAGGGAAGTAGCAAAATTGTTCCACGAAGGTGGAAGCTTGGCAATGATGCCTCCGGCAACAAATTTGTCCGGCAACACACACTTGAAGTACTCAAGTTCTTTTGCGAGCGACTGTA